CGTGATAGCGCTTGATAGATTTTTTTTTCGTATGACTGTCAAACCACTGCATAGAAAATCAGTCGTTTGTATGCAAAACGACAACATTTTTCACTGTTGTTCAACCGGATTTTTTCGTTTCGTTATCGGTTAAAACATCCTGCACATCAACGAAGAGAAAATCGTTCGATCAGTGGTTCGGCAAAATCTTTCCAACGATTTTATCGTGTGTACGGGGAATAAGACGCGATATGATCTCAATAGACAAATCTTTAAATGGTAACTCTAGCACTGGGAGGAAACACTTTCACCTAAGGTCTCTAAAGAAGATGTGGTCACAGAATAAAGCTGTACTAGAAGCTCTTCAGTCTCAAACTGCTAAGGGGTTCTTTACTGTTAGAGCGGTAAGAATGTAGAACTCCCTTCCACAGTTGGTGGTGTCAGCTCAGAGATAATTAAAAAATGTTTAGATCTGTTTCTTAGCAGGCGCAATGCACAGGGATGTAGGGTATAGGATTCTGTATATGGAGGTTTTTCTACTTATTTATTCTATTCTGTTGTTTGAACTTGATGAATTTGAGTCATTTTTCAACCTGTGTAAGTATACATGGTTTTATAACAATTCTGTATATGGAGGTTTTTCTACTTATTTATTCTATTCTATTGTTTGAACTTGATGAATTTGAGTCATTTTTCAACCTGTGTAAGTATACATGGTTTTATAACAAAAGCTCTATTGCAGAGTGTTCTGATGTGATCGTTTGACCGGTATCTATGGGCTAGCTTTCCACCAGGGAAATTAACAGTAAGTAATAAAAGCTCTTAGTAGAGGCTCTTTGATATATTACATATGGACAAAGAAAGATTTCTGTCCGAGCCATCAGCAGTTTTATCTGAAATGTTTGGTTTTGGGTGGAATTATGAATAAGGAAGGCATGAAGTATAAATGACCTGTGCTTTGTCATTCTATCTTGGCCCCTGTTCTAATGGCGACTAATGATTTGCAAATGAGACATTTATAGTATAGGAACCCTTGACAGCGCTGAACAGACTGATGGATCGGGAGAGCACTCCAGATCACATAAAACACGGAATAAAGGCTAAGTAAAGTTTAAATTAAGCTTTGCCAAACTTCATCCAACTCTCTTATCTGGCTGGAATTTATCTTTAAAGTTGAACTTTTTGTTTAACCCTTTCCCTTCCCTCTGCAAGGATTTTTTTAGAAACTTTATTTCAGACGAATCTTTCTGCTCTGAGGATGCTACATTTTCTCTACTCAAATTTGTCAAAAGAAGGGAACTGCAGAGATAATGAGGGCTTTGCAAAGCTTGTCAATTAGTGTAGCAAATCAGTCACGTCTGTTGGATGATCAGTGCTGATCTTCCTAGCATAGACATGGGGAGGAGGCACCGCTACTGAGATTATACAGGTATGTTTGCAGATGCATTCAAAAAATGGATAAGCAATTTTTTTTTTTTTTTTAGTCTGTTGTTCATCTGCCAGGAAATGTGAGTTAAAGCAGCACAAAATTACTACAAAAGATGTAAATGAGTTTATATGATGTTCTATGTATATCCTAGTGTAAGTACAGCAAAGCTCTCCTAGGATCCATGCACACTGGCTTGAAAAAACACTAGTGCTCTTGGCAGAAAAAAAAACACGTTTTGAGCATTTTTTTTGTAGTAGCATTTTTTTTCTACTAGAAAAACGCTCTAAAAAAAATGCAAAGAAGATTTTTTTTTTCTGCCTCTAAAAGCTGAGCTCTAGAGACTACCTAATGTGAATGGACACTTAGGATAACATGAGTTGTTTCTACAGGCAAAACATTAACTCCTCTAGAAGCAAAATTTTAACCGGTGGGCATTGAGGTACCTATATGGCTCACTTCCATCACAATGTCAACAAAGAAAAGGGTTCACCCCTCACTTTGGGATAGTGGGCAAAGCCATGCCTTTTATGACCTTGGGTCAACACTTCATCCAAAACCACTGGCTTATAGCATGGGTACAGCCTAGGCTGGCCATAGATGTCATTTTTTTTTTCATTCAATCACCAGGTTGAAAAAAAAAAAAAAAAGACTTGATTCCCCCATTCACATACTTGAGGTATATTGATGAATCCTCCCTGCTAGGCTATTGTATTCTGCCAGCCAGGAGGCTTTCCTGCCTTCAGTATACACTGATCAGCGCTGATCGAACAACAAAAATCCAACAGGATGATTGCACAGAAGTAGAACGTAGAAGTAGAACGATCCCTGCTGAACCATCCGAATTTTGATCCATGTATGGCCGACTTCATATAATACAACCAATCTATTCCAAACTTCATACTGCAGTTTAAAGGGTCTGTGCACACTGGCACACTCCTAAATGCTTTTCTCCTGGCAGCAGAAAAAACGCGCCTAAGCCATGTACTTGTAAACATGTTTAGGCGCCTTTATGCTCGTCAAGCGTTTGGGCATTTCTTAATTTCGCTGGCCAGAATATACATTTTTTCTGGCCACTGAAAGCAAAAATGGCCAAGCTGTAAAACGGCCTAGCGTTTAGGTGTGTTTACATGCATTTTTGCCATGTTTGGCTTTTTTTGTGTGCCAAAATGTTCCTCTCCTGAACTCAGAAGGAAAGGGTTTTTTCTGCTTTCAAACGCTCCTGCCTCTAAACGCCTATGTGTGCAAGGACACATAGGCTAACATGGAGGGGCATTTAGAGGCGGAAAAAAAAAAACTGCTAAATTCCTCTAGAGGTGGCATTTTTTTATGCTCAGTGTGCATGGACCCTAACCCCTGGTTCACATATCAGCAGCCGTGTGGTCCGCGTTTTGCGTGGGCACGAGAGCCCATTCATTTGAAAGGACTCCCATGCCCCGAGACACGCAGGGAAGAAGTCCCTGCACTTCTTTGGAAACTGCAGCCCGCACGGGAATCTTGGTTTCCAGTACGGTTGCATTTTCCAGTGTGGCAGTGCGCCATTAGAATTGATGGCACCCGTCCGCGGGTCATCTGTGTGGGTGGTGCGGCTGCAGGGATTTTCGTGTGATTCCGCAGCGGCACCACCCGCACATATGTGAACCAGGGCTTAGGCTTTTGCCTATCACTAGTGCACTGCATGGAAACCATGTGGAACAATGAGGGTGTATAACCATTCTGCTGTTTCAGGCTTGTTGCTCATCATCAGTGCAGTGTATGGTCTGATTATACTTGTATATACGACTGTGGTTTTGAGAGTGTTAGTTTTGGGGTCTGTTCACACTTACATAGGTGTGACGGAGCGTGTTGTGTTTAGGGCAGCCCATTTATTTCAGTGGGCTCCCCTACAGGTGAAAAACACACAAAAGAAGTGCAAGATTCATTTAAAAAATTGTTGCACACCAAAATGCATGGTAATTTGGTATGTTTTTGTGCATTGCAGGAATGCCTACAAATTTACATGCGTTTCTGCAACGCACAAGTGTGAACCTAGCCTTAGTCAAACAGGTGGAGTAACATAGTAAAAAGCACATATACCAAATAATTGCTGTTCGGTTTTCATCCAAACTACGCAAGAAATATTTATATTGTGGATTGCACTATATAGCAGGTGTGATAAAAGCGCACGGAACGGTAAGCAGAAATTGCAAAAACTTGAGGGCTGCCTTTTCCAACATCCTTCTGAAAATGCTAATTTCCTGGCTGCCATGATCCTCTTGCTTGAGCAGTTTAATCCCCTGAGACTGAACAAGTGTACATTCTAAAAGTTCTGCCTTTGTTGGTTGTGCGCCTATGCCATAAAACAGCAATGATGCCAGTGGATCAGCATGGCAGCCAGAAAACTAGCATTTTCTTAACAAAATGCAAGAAAATGTATTTCTACAAGGGGATGTGTTCTTCACTAAGCATGTGCTGCTTGCTGCTTCAGAAAGTACCTGGCTATAGTGTATGGCAGGGATAACCTGATCTCTACAAATCATCTGGCATCTAAACTACTTCATATACATACATACATATACACATACATATATATATATATATATATATATGTGTGTGTGTGTGTGTGTGTGTGTGTGTGTGTGTGTGTGTGTGTGTGTGTGCTTGCGGGTGTGCATTTTTCTGCATTTTTAGTGGTTTCCTGTGATTAATATTTAATCTACTAGATAAAACAGTTCACAACATCCAGCTGGCTGAAGGCATAGCAACAAAATACAAAAATAAGCATCCAAAACTGGATTTCGGTGACTGCATTGCAATTGCATAGATTACTTTCCCGTTCTGCTGCATATGTAAATTGAACAGGTAACCCTGATTAATCAATCGATCGAGCTGGCCTGCCGAAAAGCGGAAGCGTTGCTTGTTTAAAATCCAGTGGTCGGGAATAGCTACAGATTACAGATGAGTCATTTATTCTTCAACGTTTTCCCTTTTAGAATTTTAATGCAAACTAGCCCAGGGCAGTCATCGCTACAGCGCCACTTCATTCACGCTCAACTTGCCAAGCAGCAAGCGGAGGTCACTAAATTAAAACTAATTAGCTCAAAAAAAGATATTTAAGCAATTGACAGATCTTCGATAGACGGTTCGATGTTAAGAAAGCAACTCGACCAACGCAATCAATCTTGAACATTGCTTATTAATATCGGCTAGTGTAGGGGCGAACCCTGGAGCATCAATGAGGACAACAACAACATGGGGGGGGGGGGGGGGGGGGGGGATCATATAAATGATAACTTTGCCACTGTTTTGGTGTTTTATATTTTTTTTGGGCAGAAAAGAGGGGTACTTTGTCACCCGATGTTGGATAAATGTCACCACTGGTTTATAAACACAAGAAAGGACAAATCTTTCCATATCTGCTGTTCTTCATGACATATCTCCTGGCTGTAGTTTGGTGTAACATATACACAGGGCTGCTTTTAGAAACCACGGGGCCCCATACAGCCAACTTGAGAGCCCCCCCCCCCAAGTTTTACTAGGTGAATGAACACAGTGAGTGATCGGTATGGATTACTCATTGTGTTCATTCAGGAAAGAATTGGGTGGTAAATGTGACCAGGGGCGGACTGACCATTTGGAAACTCGGGCACTGCCCGAGGGCCCGGGGTCAGTAGGGGGCCCCATGAGATGCCCCTGGTACTTTTTTCATAGGCTTTTTTGAGTTTGGGCAAGGACACAGGGGCCCTATGATCCCCTATTGCCCGGGGGCCCCATGAGCTGTCAGTCCGCCCCTGAATGTGACATAATTACCGGACCTTCCCCCGCTCTCCATCCTGAAGGATCCTATTGTGTGCTTGCAGCTGTCAGTGGGAAGGAGAGGAGCAGCACTGCGGGGTGGAGGCACACAGGGGGTCTGGGCAGCAGGGGGGAACATATGGTGTACAGGGAGGAGGTAATTACTGAAACTGATCCCATGTATGGCTCTCTCTGCAGCAGCAGGAGGGAGAGGAGAAGAAGCTGGCTTTCAGCTGCTGCAGAGAGAGGCATATAGGGAATCATTTCCAGTAATTGACCCCCGCCATGCTGATCATCCTCCCTGCTGACCTGGGCCCCGTACAGGAGGACTAGTGGTACCCCCTTATCCACAGCCCCGCATATACAGTATGTGTTCGCATGACAAAAGATAGACTGCTTGCAAGAGTAGCATTTGTATAAAGCATATTTCCACTGTGCATCTGTTTCATTTTCCTATGTGTTGCACGACCGCGCAATTGTCATTCAAAGTGTGACAGCACTGAAAGCTGAAAATTGGCCTGGACTGGAAGGGGGTGAAAGTGTCTGGACTTGAAGTGAAGAAAAAATGCTGGTTACCTTTTTAAGTGGTTTTTACTTGTTTAAAAATCAAATCCTTACCTGTTCTCCCTGCATTGTGGTGTTTAGATGTGGATTGTGGAGTTACATTTAACATAATTAACCCTGTCTGTACTGTGTTCGCAGTTATTCATTATTGTCTGTAAACTGAATTTGGACACTACCTGTCCTAACAAAGGGTTAAACATTTTGAAACTGCCCTCCTTCATTGTATGAAGTATAGTGCATGCTGTACTTTTTGCGCTTTCCTGTGCATTTGGCATCCCAGTGACATATATGAGCTGTCAAAACTGGAACGTGCTGGAGGGCGTGAATGCACAGGTTCCAGTATGAAACTGACCCCCAGTCATGACAACTTCTTAGAAACTAATCTAAAAGATTACAAATATTTATTTTTTTAGGTATGCTCTGTGAATGGAAACACATAATAATCCTATAGTGGGGTTTTGTCAAATTTGACTGCAAAAGTGGAAATACTTTTTAAACTGCTGTAGATGTGTGTCATGCTGCTTAGAGTTACTTTTGCATTCACTTTGACTTGTATGTGGAAGAAAAGTGACTCAGACACAGATCAAAGCCCATGCATGTGATCCCTTGCAAGACCACCAATGCTGGGGTGGGGGTTATTGTTATAGCCATCCACCGACCACCAATGCTGGGGTGGGGGTTATTGTTATAGCCATCCACTGGCCACCAATGCTGGAGCGGGTGTTATTGTTATAGCCATCCACTGACCACCAGTGTCAAGGTGAGGGTTATTGTTATAGCCATCTACTGACCACCAATGCTGGGGGGTGGGGGATATTGGTATAGCCATCCACTGACCAGCACTACTGGAGTGGGGGTTATTGTTATAGCCATCCACTGGCCACCAATGCTGAGGTGAGAATTATTGTTATAGCCATCTACTGACCAACAATGCTGGGGTGGGGGTTATTGTTATAGCCATTCACTGACCACTAGTCCTGGGGTGGGGGCAGGGGCGGACTGACAACTCATGTGGCACCCGGGCAATAGGGGATCATGGGGCCCCTGTGTCCTTGCCCAAACTCAAAAAAGCCTATGAAAAAGGTACCAGGAGCATCTCATGGGGCCTACTACTGACCCTGGGCCCTCGGGCAGTGCCCGAGTTTCCAAATGGTCAGTCCGCCCCTGGGTGGGGGTTATTGTTATAGCCATCCACTGACCATTAATCCTGGGGTGGGTGTTATTGTTATAGCCATCCACTGGCCACCAATGCTGGGGTGGGGGATATTGTTATAGCCATCTACTGACCACCAATGCTGGGGTGGGGGTTATTGTTATAGCCATCCACTGACCACTAGTCCTGAGGTGGGGGTTGTTGTTATAGCCATCATCTGACCATTAATTCTGGGGTGGGGTGTTATTGTTATAGCCATTCACTGGCCACCAATGCTAAGGTGAGGGTTATTGTTATAGCCATCTACTGACCACCAATGCTGGGGTGGGGGTTATTGTTATAGCCATCCACTGACCATTAATCCTGGGGTGGGTGTTATTGTTATAGCCATCTACTGACCACCAATGCTGGGGTGGGGGGTTATTGTTATAGCCATCTACTGACCACCAATGCTGGGGTGGGGGTTATTGTTATAGCCATCTACTGACCACCAATGCTGGGGTGGGGGTTATTGTTATAGCCATCCACTGACCACTAGTCCTGAGGTGGGGGTTGTTGTGTTATAGCCATCATCTGACCATTAATTCTGGGGTGGTGTGTTATTGTTATAGCCATCCACTGGCCACTAGTCCTGAGGTGGGGGTTGTTGTTATAGCCATCATCTGACCATTAATTCTGGGGTGGGTGTTATTGTTATAGCCATCCACTGGCCACCAATGCTAAGGTGAGGGTTATTGTTATAGCCATCTACTGACCACCAATGCTGGGGGGGGGGGTTATTGTTATAGCCATCCACTGACCATTAATCCTGGGGTGGGGGTTATTGTTATAGCCATCCACTGGCCACCAATGCTAAGGTGAGGGTTATTGTTATAGCCATCTACTGACCACCAATGCTGGGGTGGGGGATATTGGTATAGCCATCCACTGACCAGCACTACTGGGGTGGGGGTTATTGTTATAGCCATCCGCTGACCAGCACTACTGGGGTGGGGGTTATTGTTATAGCCATCTACTGACCACCAGTCCTGGGGTAGGGGTTATTGTTATAGCCATCCACTGACCACCAATTCTGGGGTGGGGGGGTTATTGTTATAGCCATCCACTGACCACCAATGCTGGGTTGGGGGGTTATATTGTTATAGCCATTCACTGACCACCAATGCTGGGTTGGGGGGTTATTGTTATAGCCATTCACTGACCACCAGTCCTGGGGTGGTTGGTTACTGGTATAGCCATCCACTGACCAACCCTACTGGGGTGGAGTTATTGTTAAAGCCAGCCACTAAACACTTATGAATAAGGTCTGTTTTTAGACTGAAACCTGTTAGTGTAAGTTCGCCATAGAATATTTTTATGCAATAAAAAGATTCTTGTATTCACCTGTTGCCGACATTTTTGGACTATGCAGCAATGCTGGGGGGGGGGGGGGGGGGGAGGGGGATTTTAGATTGTTAGCTATCCATTGAAATTCAGTACTGGGTGAATGGATTATTTTTTATAGCTTGCATCTGACCCCCAATGCAAGGAGGATATATTCCTACCACTGACCACCAACGAAGCAAGGTGGGGTGATTATTGCGGCCATTTACACGAATGCTGAGGGTTCTCAATGCCATTGACGCTATTGCTAGCGTTTACTATGACTGCCAGTGACACCACACTGATAGATTCATTTTCTTTCTATCCTACAAGCAATACACTATGAAATGACACCCACTTCCAAGTGTTTGGCAGTGTTTCTTCTTGATATTTTTAAAACCAATCATCTAACTTTTAGAAATGGTGGTAACTCTGCAGAACATCGCGCTCCTGCACATCAGGTGGACTGACATGCTAAGTTCTACGCATTAAGTTGCAACCGTGTTTACAGCTGCTGCTATTCACCTCCACCAGTTAAATTTACTCCCATCTCCAACACGCGGGACCTTTAATTTAAAGATTACTACTCAATAATTTTGATGTGGGGGGGGGGTTAGAAAAAAAAAACTACGTGCCACAGGTGCCAGATGTGCATGGTACGACACTGCTCACAATATTAGTGTCTAGTCCGTTGTTTTCTGAGCGCCTTTTTTGGGCGCAGCTTTCGTAGTACGGGTCCTCTTTAGGTTTACTGCCCCTGGAGTTTCTCAGTTGACCTTCTGGCACTAAGCGCTAGATGTCTAAAGGTACCCTTGTGTCCCATAAAAATGAAGATGCCTGAAAAATACCATTCAACTCATTTTGCTACAGGGAGTTGAAGTGCACAAACAAATAAATTTTCCCCTGTCCTTTGCAGTGAAAGCTTTTTTTTTTAAAACAATACGAAAGGCACTATGACAAAATCAATTTGTGCAAAAATGGCCAAGTCTTCTACCAGGATTATCGTCTTACAAAGTTGCTGCAGAACAAATCCTAATTCACACAACAAATCTACGGCATTATCAGACAGTGTTTAACCAAGCTTTGTTTCACATATCAATGAACTAAGCCCTCTTGAAATTAACTCCAAACAGCTTTTTGCAGATAGGCTTAGTATGGCTGTGACGTCTCCAGCTACCATGCTAACCACAAACGGCTCCTTCCCCTCTCGCGTACTTGTGCATTAACGAGCGCAGTAAGCAGACTGTAAGTGGTATGGAGCAATGGAACGATCTATATAAAAAGGAGGAGATATTAAATGATTCTGTCTGGTGGGCAACATAAAAAACTTGGAAAACCTCAATCTACCGGTAAAAACTCCCGACTCATAACTTAAAGCCAGCTTTTATTAACAGTCAAGACCTCAAATCCTGACTTGATTGGTCATAAAAGCACAAAGAAAAGACAAAAAAAAAATCACTATAAAATGCAATGTGCCTCCTGCAGCTATATACCTAACGAAGTACCAGGGAAGCAAAGGATTCCGGGTACTGACATGTTAATGAGCGTCATCCATACACTGATAATGAAAAAGAGAGTCTTGCTTACTTAAAAAAAAAAAAAAAAGTCTGTAATATTCACTGGCAAAGCATGTATGTTTTTCCCACAGAGTAATAGGTATTGAACACAGAATGACAGAATGTCCGGGATTTATTGCAGATAATGGGTTTCATGGTGCGATAAATCCAGCAGTTTTTTGTGTTGTTTTTTTTACAGATTGGAGACTAATAAAAAAAGTGCAAGATAGACAGGGACTTCCTTATAAACAAGCCTTGCGGATGTGTCTCAGCATATCAAAGAGATTTTCCAAAAACCAGCGATGAGCCCATAAAAACTGGCAGTGGGGGCTATAGCTAGAGCTGAACCAGAGCCAAGCCATGGCACGTGTTTCAGAAGATAAAAAATGCAATTGCAGCTCAACTTTAATGTGCTAAT